AGCCTTTTGTTATTTTACCCGTGTTTTCTTTGCCGTTAGAGTGCGAGTAAGAGTCGGCATATAGCCTTTCTTATTTCTCAAGTATTTGAGTGTCCATACTCGGTGTGTGGTAATTCAGATAACTGCCACTCTTGAAGAATTACACCCCGCCTTTGGCCTGAGGAATTTTGTAGTTCTTGCGTATTTGCAAAACTTTTAAAGCCCAACGCATGTTGGCAATCCTTGTTTAGAGTCCCTACAGTTGGTCTTTTTTTTTTCTTCTGATCACAAGACCGCCTTCGACCGGCGTTCTGTTTAAGTTCAATACATACGGGATTCCCCAGTAAATCGTGGTTTACACTTGCCTTTGCAAGCCTTTTGTTATTTTACCCGTGTTTGCTTTGCCGTTAGAGTGCGAGTAAGAGTCGGCGTATAGCCTTTCTTATTTCTCAAGTATTTGAGTGTCCATACTTGGTGTGTGGTAATTCATATGACTGCCACTCTTGAAGAATTACACCCCGCCTTTGGCCTGAGGGATTTTTTAGTTCTTGCGTATTTGCAGCCTATCGAAAGCCTAACATGTTTTTCTTTGTTAGAGTCTGCTTGGACCAGTCCCTTTCTCTTGCAGAGTTCACATTCGATCGGTGCTCTTTGAAGGTCCTGCTTAGTCGGTTCCTTGTTTTGGTTTATCCACGTTACTCGGGTCCTCCTTTCGTTAGCCTAGCTAATCTTTTATGTTAAAAGTCTTTCAGTGTCTCTTCAAAGTCTAGTTGTCTAGCATCCTTATTTAGGCGAATGCGCCCTTTTTATTGGGGCTTTCTTCGGTTAGTCTTGTTCCTGTGTTTGCTAGCAATTCTAAACATTTGTTTCTTGATGATCAACTTCGCTCTTGTGTATCTAACTCTGACCAGACATGCATACCTGTATCTTTCAAAACCCCGCTTCGGTTGGTATCTTTTGTCAAAATCCCGTTTCGGATGGTGTCATTTCTTTTAAATCCACCTTCGATTGACATCATTTGCCTGGAGTCCCATTCGTTTGGTCTCCTTCCTCAGTAAGTCCGCCTTCGATTGGTGTTTCTTTGCAAGAGCTTTCTTCGGTCTGTCTCTTTCGTACGTATCCGATACCAACCACGGATATGTATTTTCAATACCTGTTTCGTATGTCTGCTACCAACCTCAGACATATGTTCTTGTATCTTTGACGTCTCTTTCGTACGTATCCGATACCGATCACGGATATGTATCTTTGATGTCTCTGTCGTATGTATCTGATACCGACCATGGATATGTATCTTTGATATCTCTTTTGTGCGTATCCGATACCGACCACGGATATGTATCTTTGATGTCTCTGTCGTATGTATCCGATACCGACCACGGATATGTATCTTTGATGTCTCTTTTGTACGTATCCGATACCGACCATGGATATGTATCTTTGATGTCTCTGTCGTATGTATCTGATACCGACCACGGATATGTATCTTTGATATCTCTTTTGTGCGTATCCGATACCGACCACGGATATGTATCTTTGATATATCTTTTGTGCGTATCCGATACCGACCATGGATATGTATCTTTGATGTCTCTGTCGTATGTATCTAATACCGACCACGGATATGTATCTTTGATATCTCTTTTATGTGTATCCGATACCGACCACGAATATGTATCTTTGATATCTCTTTTGTGCGTATCCGATACCGACCACGGATATGTATCTTTGATGTCTTTGTCGTATGTATCTGATACCGACCACGGATATGTATCTTTGATATCTCTCTTGTGCGTATCCGATACCGACCACGGATATGTATCTTGTCTATATCTTTTGTGCATATCCGATACCGACCACGGATATGTATCTTTGATGTCTCTGTCGTATGTATCCGATACCGACCACGGATATGTATCTTTGATGTCTCTTTTGTACGTATCCGATACCAACCACGGATATGTATTTTCAATACCTGTTTCATATGTCTTCTACCAACCTCAGACATATGTTCTTGTATCTTTGACGTCTCTTTCGTATGTATCCGATACCGACCACGGATATGTATCTTTGATGTCTCTTTTGTGCGTATCCGATACCGACCACGGATGTGTATCTTTGATATCTCTCTTGTGCGTATCCGATACCGACCGCGGATATGTATCTTTTCTATATCTTTTGTGTGTATCCGATACCGACCACGGATATGTATCTTTTCTATCTCTTTCTTACGTGTCCGATACCGACCACAGATATGTATTTTTGATGTCTCTTTCTTGTATATCCGCTACCAACCCCGGATATGTGTCTCTGATATTTTTTTTCGTATGTCTACTACAGGCTTCAGGCATATATCTTTTGATACCTTTCTTACAGGTGTTTGTTACTAAATCCCAACAGATGTTCCTTGGTAACCAAGTTATTTTGCTGTGTATCAAACTCTGGTTAAACATACATCTAACCCCGATAACCCATGTAATCCAAAAAGCAAAATAATATAATAAAAATAGATTCCGAAAAAGAAAAATAATAATACCTGACTGACTCCGGAGCGCAAATTTTTGGGTTCTTTTAAGTATTTAATCTTCTTCCACCTTGAAAGCTCGAAAGGCTGGCGCCAATCTCACCTTCAGGTTGAAGACGATTAAATAGGGGCAGCTGTTGCACCCTAAAATTTGCCCTCCTAATTTCCTTTATTTTGGCTTAGACTTTTGCATTCGTCTGCATCTTTTTCATTAGGTCACTAACATGGCATACATTTCATTCAATATAGCTCTGAGGTTCAAAGTTTAGTGGTTGTGCGATACTAGGGTTTCATAGTGGTTAAGGCGCTCATATCCAATAAAGGACTTCTTCTCCCTCAAACAGCAAGGCCATTATCTTCTGATAAACAACCGATTGTAGGTCATTCTGGTCAAGAACTCTAGGACGTGACCTAGCATATATGGGCTTCGAATCATGACGTCCTTTCCTATAACTATGCTTGACATTTGATTAGGATTAATGACTGTGACATGACAATCATCTACTCCTCAGTTAATCAAATTAGGTTTTGTTGAATCATGGTTCAAAGATGTTTTATCCAGATATTTCTCTGTGCGTCTAAATGAGGAATCAAGATTGTGAGGGCTTCACATCAAGAGAATTCTTCTGTGATTCATACTTTATCATCCATCTGTAAGATGTTCCTTATGACACTAATCTCAAGTTGAAATAACCGATCGCTAAGGGCTGAGGATTGAATTGTGAAGCGTGGTTCATGACCTAAGATATGAATTCATAGATTTCTCCTTAACCAAGGCAATCATTGTCCTCATCATTTTCATTTGTTATCTGCGATGTGAGTAGGTTTGGATTGAAGTAGGTTTCTCATAGAAGAATTCATGCAAGGTAATTCAAGGTTCAATGCATTCAAGGCAGGGTTTGTTCAACATGGCATACCTGGTTGATGGGCTTACAAGCTCTTATGAGACCTTGAGATGCATAACCATGGGCCAATTTCAAAGATATGTGGATAAGATCTGTTGACTTCGGTTAAAGTAAGCTTTGAAAAATTAACTTTGGGACCAAGGTCTCCCTTGAATTTTCATCTAATATGTGTTGGGAATTCGAGTTGCATTTGAAGAATGGTATGGTAAAGGAAAAGAAATATTGGTTCAGAAAAGAAAAAATTCATTAAAAATCAGGGTTTCTATTCATTGATAAAAGTTCAAGTAATTGAAGATCAGGGGAAATAAGGTTTCATATTAATCTTGATCATATTCTTTCGTTATCATTTACATCCATCTTTGATGATTTAAGGTCGTCATTTAGGGAAGGACTTTGTCAAGATAAGAGACTTGTGGATTTAATCGTGGAATATGAGGCATGATACAAAAGGCAAGGTTGTGAATTTTTTAGGATCAAGATCTTATTGACTATTCAAATTATTTATCATTCAAGTTGATTTGGGTTCAAGATTGAAGTTAGGAGTTCATTGAGAATGCAAGTGTGATTTGGATTTGAAGTTTGATTTGAGTTCAAGATGTTTGAAAGTGTTTGATTGGATTAAAGTTGGCAAAGAGCCTTAAGTATTGGTCATATGAGTTTCTTGGAAGGTAAAGTACAGACTGCGAGGTCTTGTTTCAAGTCGGAGTTCATACGCATTACAAAGACGTTCATCGTTATTCCAGATTCAAGTTGACATGTGTTCAAAGTTTATTCGAACCCTTTCATTCATGATTCAAGAAAATACTATCCAATTCCATTCAATTTCATTCAAGTGTAACAATACATTACAAGAAAATTTGATGCTTTCATGTCTTCAAGCATTTTTCAAGACTTTGTCATTTAAACTCCGTCCTTAAAATTCATCACCCAACATTTCAAGCTCAAAGGTCATTTACAATTCACACTATAAATTTCAAGTTCATCCAAACCAAACATTCATTATAAAATCATTACAATCCCATTACACCAATATTCTACAAGGAAAAAAAAACTGTTACAAAATACACTTGAACAAAATTCTTTAGTCCTAAAGGTGCTAAAATTCCATGAGTAAACTTCTAATTCCATGCCATGCCAAAGTTCTTCATCTTCAGTTCATGACCTGCACATTCATACAAAAAAATCCAAGTCAATACAAGCAATCATGCCAAAATATCCTATGCTCATACAAATTATTCGGACCATGAAAAACCATTAATTAACCCAAACCAAATGCTAAACACATATATGGAACAACCTGCATACCTTAACTTTGGCAGAGAATAGGTCCACGTCATTCAAACTAATTGCAATTGAAAGGAAAATCAAATTCAGCTTCGGATCAATGTCCAACAATAACCATAATCACACATTTCCAATTGCAGCTACTTTTGTTCATGCTCTTGTTGCTAAATCTATGTCAAGAAACTTCAGGGCTAATACAGTTTGAAGCCTCGTTAAAATGGAAACGAAATCTCCCTCTGGAATTACAGAACAAGTGGTGTGTGGGACTAGTGGATGGGGTGCTGTTAGTTTCTCATTTCCTTCAAAAAATGGTGCACACACTCTCTCTAATGGCTTCTCACATCTACCATTCACCCCTTGCCTTCCCCACAACACATGTCAAGGAGTGTCAAACTTTTGCACCTTCTTCTTTAGCAAAACCAGATATGCTCAATTGTCAGTATCCTTTTCTTAACTCAAGTCCATTTGGAGAGCCCGTTAAAACCCGAAAAAATTGGTTTGATGAAACTCAGTTCATCAATGTCGATTCCTTGCCCTAATGGCATGTATCAATTGATGCACAAGAATCCTGTTCAAATGCAGTACTTTTAGGCTTTGGCATTGTTGAGTAATGTACTAAGCATGATACAGTTTCAAATCTCCTAAAATCAGGAACTGCTGAGTCACGGGTAGAGGGAGCAAATATATCCTTGTTATTAGACTTGATTAAATTGCAGTTGTCAGCCATTAATGAACCTCACCAACCATTCTCATCTGACTCGTCGTCTCTTTTATACCTTAATGACAAATTCAACATCAAGAAACCTTTTCTGTATTTTCTTCAAGATTCTGCACTTACTTCAAAGGTTACGGTTCATCTTGATGGCCAAATCACATTTATGGGTGCTGAAATTCAGATGAAAGATCTTCTTTCTGTAGTTGCTGAGTCATATTTATCAAAGAGATTACATAAGGGTGAAAAGCTCTCAGTGCTTGTTCCACACTTCAGCAGGGTGAATATCAGTGAAGCAGAAGTACAGAGTCATTCATCTACAATGAAGATCAAATCTACCTTAACCGCTCCTTTAAGGAGTCCTGAGAAAGTCAAAACTCAGTGCGATTGGGTCACTTCAATAATTAGAAGGACCACATAAGGAATTGAACTCAAGTTTTGACAAGTATCAGAAACTTCTTGAAAAAAATCGTTAAACACTGACATCTAAAAGGCATACAGAAATATGGAGTTTGATACTCACATTATCACTCAAATCTGTGCAAGCCACCTTTACCGTCTAGGTCTATTTGATCTTGGAGATAACTTCATAAAGGAGGCCGGGGAGCCTAACGCAACTGCACTTGGATCTTAATTTTTGGAAATGCACCAGGTTGTTGAAGCCATGAGGGGTAGAAACCTACAACCTGCTCTCACATGGGTCTCTGCCAATAGTGAATGACTTGCCCGGATTGGATCCAATTTTGAAACTTAAGATGCACACGCTGCAGTATGTAGAGGTTGTGCAAAACAAAACCCAAGTTGATGCACTAAAATATTCCAGAACTTAATTCTAAAATCCTCTACTTCCTTCAAGGACATTCCGAGCATACACATGAACATGTCAGCTTTCCTGCTAACTTCAACACTCCATCCAAAATTCCATGAAGAGTTGCAGCTGATCCCGACACGGATGAAGTGTATGCAAAACTAAGGCTCTTTCCTCTGCATCCTAGCGATGTTAATTTTGATGGTGACATTGTTGCTGGTGTCAATGATAATCTGGTGCAATCCTATACAAAGACCTTGACACAATCTGATGCAAATAATGGTGGTTTCGCTTGTCCTAAGAATTGTACATAAATAATTCTTCCTCCATTAGACGGTTCAGATAGGCTTCCTTCTCATGACAACTTGACTAGGGGGATTCATTTGTGTTTGTGAAAGCTGCAAACAGTGATTTTCATATTGGAATTCGAAGGAAATGAATATAGATTTAACTTTCCATCAAAGAGAAAACCTAAAACGGGAACTCCTCCTCAATCACCTTACGCTGCTGATCCAGCATGGTCTGACTCCCTTTGGAAAATTCTCCAGGTTACATGGGATGGTCCTGATTTAGTTACAAATACGAAGAGGCTGAACCCCCCTAGCGATTTTCTAAAAGATTGTTAACCTCCATAACTGCTAACCAATTATAACTGAATTTAAAACTCTCAAACTGTAACTAACTTCCTCATCTCCTAACAACCTAGTGCTAACCTAATTTTGAAACTAACAGAATTTCACTTCTAAAAAAAAACTGTCAAAGTTAACTTCTAACCGACTACACCAAGTTACTGAATTTAGAAAACTAACTCTAACAGTAGTTTTTAGCTTCCAACTGACTTGTTCCTAACATCTAACATACCTAACTTCTAAGAGAAATTTCACTGGCAGTTATTAACAGAACCAATAGAAGTTAACAGTTCTAACTGCTTAAAATCTGACCGTTCATCTCGTAACTGATTGATTTGATTCAACGGCTCAGATCTTCACGTCTCTAACCGTTTCCACCTCCCTTAACTACCTATATAATCCAAAACTCCCTCCAAGTTTCAGAGGACGATACTTTCTCTTTTCCAGTTTCAAACTTCATCCTCTCTCCACCATTTTTTTCTATCCTCTTCCATCAACACGCTTCATTTTTCACCCAGAACTCAAAAAGTTTTCGGAATTCTCTCTCTTTCTTCTCTAACCAATACTCTTCATCCTTCAAGCCACTCTTCATTTTGACTTACTTCTGAAACCCTGCTTCATCTTCATCAAATCATCTCTCTGTAAACTCAAATCACACTCCTACGATCTCACTCAAACACAACTCACAACGACAACCGCAACAACCCTATGCTCCTTCCTATTAATGCTCATCAATACACGCACTTGGAAGTCACAAAGAAACGCAAGAAAAAAGAAAGAAGAAGAAGAAGAGCGGAGGAATAGTTCACGCAACCAGAGTTATAGAAAGTACGTACCTGAAGTCAAATAATCTCGTCGATAATCACTTTCCCCAGATTGTATTCTGGCCGGTAAGCCTCAACTTCTCTCTATTTCTTCATCAATTTCACTATACCATATTTTCTCTATTCGCAATTCGGTGTGAAGTTTATGAGGAAGGGAGTTGAACCGATGAAAGAGAGAGGAGTTGTGGTGGCGTTGGGCTGTCTTATGATGGCAAAATGAATCGTCTGAGAAGGAGGTTGCGGCACCATTGGTGTTGAGGGATCGGAGAAGAGGACGATTGGGGATGACGCGCTGTTGAGAGTCAGAAACAAAGGGAGTCTGTGTTCGAAGATTTGAACCGTCACCCAAACTTAACCTAATTCCCTAAAATTTTGTTATTTGATTGTTTTTTTGTTATAATCAATAAAAACGTAATATGAATAATAGGGAGGCTGTTAGTGATTTGTTTGTGAAGTAAGTGGACCGAAACTCACCCAAAATGTAGTCCAATATGCAATTTTTTTTTGTTGCATTTTTTATGTTGGTGAGACATAAATAATTGTTTGGACTATATTGATGGGCCTTCAGCGCCTGTTTGCTAGATCATATCTCATGTTCCCATATTGCACCCCCTGGGTTGTTTCTTACTATTTGCAATTTCTTTTGAACAATTTTGATTATAGCTTAGACTTGTTTTAATTTTCTTCACAAAATAAAAATAATAAAAATCAGTAAAATTTGTTAGATTTTTTTTCTTATTTTAATTTTTAGGAATTAATTCATGGCTATCCGATTATTCGAAATTCATGATTCACCTTTGTTTGTTGAGATTTAAATCTTATGCAGGTTTATTATGCGGTATGCGGATACGCTTGAAATTTCGATTGTGATTTATTTTCACATCGATGATGCTTCAACACTTATTCCGAGCATTAGATTTCTAATTCTTTTCTTTGTTGATGCTAGCAGCTCGTGAGATCATCGAGTTTCTTTGCTTTTTACTTTGCTCTACGAGCTAGTACTCGTTTGGTATATTTTATTTCCACTCTCACCCCACATTTATCACTTCCCATAGATTGCATGGTATGATGACTTTAGGTTTAGAAATAGGTTAGTCTCCCTGTGACTTTTCTTTTTTTTTCTTTTCGCATATGCATTTAAAAACAAAAACTTCTTTTTCTCATAAACTTCAAAAATACAAAAAAATTTACTGACGAGAATAATATCTTCGTTAAGTATGTGAGACGATAAGCGGGTCTCTTCTTGACCTTATTGATCTCTTATTCTAAGCTTTGGTGTGGTTTAAGTCTCAAAGACTCATTTCATGAATAAGTAGAGAAATGGCTAAAATCTCTCTCTTGAGGTTAACTAGCTATTATCTACAAGCGAAAAACACCAACAAACATAAAAAATCTTTTTTGCCCTCGGGCCTTTCTTTCAAACCCTTTTCAAAAGAGCATACTAATTCACTTCTGTGCTGACGCGTAAATCTCCAAAGGTCGAGTTGCGGCAGAAGGAGAAATTAATGTTGTTCATTAAAAAATACCAACCGACAAAAACATATAAGGCGAACTACGGCTGCTCTGATTCCTTAAAAGGGATACGTAGGAATTGGGGTAGGGCCCAGGCGAGCACAATTTTATTTTCCTACATTCTTTTCTCCTTTTCTTTTGCATGCACTTTCCCTTTAGCAATAATAAACAATAAGCATAGATTAAACACACCCATAAGATAGACAACAATAGTGGATACCGTAGAGTACTACGGGCGTGTGGGGTGCTAATACCTTCCCCTCGCGTAACGGACTCCCTTACCCTTATCTCTTGGTCGTTCGACCTTGATTTCATCCTTCTCGGGTTTTCTCGATGTTTACCTTTCTCTTCATGTGGGATAAAAGACGTTCGATGGCGACTTCATTGTTTGATGATTTTCAGCCGGTTGTTTCACCCGGTCAGAGGGAAGATTGTTACAGTGCAGGGGGAGGAAGAATATATGGTCAGCCATCTTAACTCGTTCCAGTATATAGAAATGGACGGGGAGTTCATTGAGACCCCCTTTCAACACTTTGAAGAGGTGCCTCTAACATTGGCGTCAGCAGAGACTGTATCTGAAGAAGACTCTCCTTTGAAGATGGCTTCCTTAAAGGACGCCCGGGCTGTGATTGAGAAGGGTGAGTGCGCAAACTAGGGCCGACTTCCTGATTTCACTCCGAAGACTGACAAGTTTGGGCTGGGTTTCACTACAGAAGCATAGAGGGTTGTTCGCAAGGCAAGGATTGGAAGACCTCTTGTATTCATCACCAACCCGGGAGTGAATGTTATTGAAGACGACATGGAGGAATCTGAATTCGACAGCTGGATCTACCCAACGGCCAACGCTGGACTAAGCAACTGGACTGCTAAAGACTACATACCTATTACTTTTGTCACTCAGTAATGAACTCCTTTGTTTTAAATTTGTAACGAACAATAATTTGAAACTTTATGGCCCAGTGTCTTACCCGGGGCACCGTAGCTTCATTTGTGAGGGCTTATTACTTGTCATTTTCATATATCATGAATAAAAGCATTGGACGTTTTTCGCATTTCAAATCTTGCGCTCCCTTTCTTTCTTTATTATATATTGCAAAACAGCTATATATACACACACTCACTTATACAGGTTCCAATCCACTCTGGATTTCACTGGTAACGACTCTGCTACTGCCAGTTATGACTTCGAAAATCTGATCAACTTAGCCAAAGACGAAGGTGAAGATGATTGCGAAGTGCCTGGTGAACTTGCAAGACTGTTACTCCAGGAAGAGAGGGCCATCCAGCCACATGAAGCCAGTGGAAACGGTAAATTTGGGTACTGAGGCAGACAGAAAGGAAGTCAAGATTGGTGCCAATCTGGAGCTCAGTGTGAAACAACGGTTGATTCAGATGTTGCATGATTATATGGAAATCTTCACCTGGTCTTACGAAGACATGCCTGGGTTGGATACCAACATTGTGGTTCATCATCTGCCTACCAAGGAAGACTGCCCTCCGGTTAAACAGAAGGTCCACCGTATGCGTCCAGAGATGTCCTAGAAATATGACGGTGTCTCTTGTCCAAAATTGCATTTAAGGTCATACGTTAGGAAGATTCAACCCCATACTGCTGATAGGAACCTATGGCTACATTTCTTCCAAGAAAGCTTGTCAGGGACGCGGTTGGATTAGTTCTATCAGTTGGAAGGAACCAATAATCGCAATTGGGAAGATTTGGTTGCTGCTTTTTACAAGCAATACCAGTATAATGTTGACCTAGCTCCAACTCGAACACAACTGCAAGGTATGTCTATGGGTGCTGGTGAAGGTCTCAAAACTTATGCCCAAAAATGGAGGGACCTCGCGGGAAGAGTCCAGCCCCCTTTATCTCACAGAGAATTAGTGGATATGTTTTGAGGCACGTTGTCTGGTCCATTCTTCAACCATCTGATCGGAAGCTCTTCAGCTGGATTTACTGAATTAATCATGACTAGTGAGCGGGTAGAAGCCGGTATTAAGATCGGAAAAATTCAAAAGGATGTATCCTCAAGCACGATGAAGAAACCCTTTACCGGAAAGAAGGAGGTCAGCGTTTCTTATGACTACAGGAATCAAAACAAAATTGAACGTCGCCCGACGGTAGGGGCTGTTATGATTTTCAATCTTGTATCAAATCAACAGCGAAACTACCAACGCAAGCCAGAGACGCCCATAAGACGATTCACCTGAATCAACATGGCCGTGTCCCAAGTTTTGCCACATCTATTGAATTCCAATATGGTGACTCTAAAGGAATCTCCCAAGAACCCTAATACTTCTTCTCCCCACTACAACATGGATGCTCGATGTGCCTATCATTCTGAAAGTCTGAGACATGATACAAACGATTGTTGGGCCTTGAAGAATAAGGTACAAGACCTTATCGAAGCGAAGAAGATTGAGTTTGACCCCCCAGAAACACCTAATGTAATAAAGGATCCAATTCCCAAACATGGTTAAGGTGTCAATGTTGTTGATGATGACTGTTTTGTTTCCTCCATGGATGATTTAACTACTCCCCTTTCGATTGTTAAACAGAATATGTTGCAAGCTGGTCTATTTTCGGGCTGTGATGAAAGTTGTCGCTTATGTATGTCTCTACCAGATGGCTATTTGTTACTAAAGATGGGAGTCCAGTGC